CCAGAACAAATTTGATAGAGAGCCACCAATTTGGCCAATGGTCTGGAGCACATGCCTTAACAGGAGAGAACTGGGCTTGTTCAGTCTGGAGAAGATCAGGCTTTGATCTAAGAGCAGCTCTGCAGGACCTGTGAGTGTTTGGTGGGAAGACAAAAAGCCGTGTGCGTGAGTTGAAACAACGTTTAGACTTGGCCTAATCTTTTCATCAGCAGACTGCCTAAAGAGGCTGTGCAGTCTCCACCCCTGGAGATTTTCTAGACTTGGCAGGATAAAGCCGTGACACCCTGATTTAACCTTGCTTTGAACAGGATCTTTGATCCCATACCTCCTGAGGTCTGGTCCAAGTTCCTAGAGACTGTGGAACTCTGCAGCTGCTCTTTGTGCCAGACATCTCTACACTGATGTGTATTATTTAACTTTATTATCAGAGGTTCTGAGCCTGGTGAATTTCACTGGACTATAAAATCCCTTCATAAAGGAAGAAGGCTAATATGATTCAAGGATATCTTTGTCAAACTCAGGCTAAAAATTTACTTGTAAATAAGAAAAATTCAGTATTCATTAAGGAGAGACATTTCTAAACTACTGGTGTAGCAAGTTGTAGACTTTATTAGAAGTAGTCTGCACAAATATTGAGACATTCTTGTCTTGGAAATATAAAATATTTATGGTTCCCACAATTTTTTCTGTAATTCTCCCAATTATATACTCTTCTTTATTAATCCTCTGTTCATGCTGGTTTTGGTTTGGTTTTTTTAAAGACATATCTTTACCAAAGAGAAACTTCCTTCTTGGGAGTAAAGTCAGCTTAAGACATTTCAGTGCTACCCAGGTATTTCTGACTCCCTCAGCTGTACTGTTGAAACTTATGGGAATCCATGTCAAACCAGATCAGGGAAATAATTTGTGTTAAAAATAACCTTGCCAAAACAATTTATTTTTAACCAATATCATTTTGTGGTATAGTAGAACCTAGGAAATTGCTGGGTCAAATTAAAGATGTATAATAGGTGAGAAAATGAGCCAGAGGGGAGAAAATGCTAAAGTTGACTTTGCTGAGGAAAAAAAAAAAAAAAGAAATCTGAAGAAGTACAGCTTAAAGGATTGATGTAATAATATGAAGGTAATTAGCCTGAGTGGCTAATTTATCTGTGGTAGCCAAATAATAGTGGATGTGGTAAATAAGGCTGGAAGACTTAAAGCAATACATTTTTCTTTAAATTCTGCTGCTTTTGAAAGCTCTTCTTTGTAGACGTTGTTTTTATTCTGTATGGTGATGGAGTAGTCATGAAAACATCTGTTGTGAACAACAGATTCTGAGAATCATTGAATCATTAAGGTTGAGAAACAACTTTAAGATCATTGAGTCCAACTGCTAATCTAGCATTGTGTTCACCACTAAACCATGTCCCTAAGTGCTGCATCCACACACTTTTGATGACTTCCAGGGATGGTGGTTGCACCATTTCCCTGGGCAGCTTATTCCAATGTCTTCACACTTCCCATGAAGAAATATTTCCTAATATTCGATCTAAACCTTCTCTGGCACAACTTGAGCCAATTTCTTTTGGTCTTGTCCCTTGTTAGCCTAAGAGAAGAGACCAACCTCCATGTGGCTATACCCTTCTTTCAGGTGCTTGTAGAGAGCAATAAGGTCACCCCTGAGCCTCCTTTTCTCCAGGTTAAACAACCCCAGTTCCTTCAGCTGCTTCTCCTAAGACTTGTGCTCCAGACTCTTTACCAGCTCCATTTGCCTTCTCTGGGCTCACTCCAGCACCTCAGTATCCTTTTTGCAGTGAGGTGTCTAAAACTGGGCACAGGACTGGAGGTGTGGCCTCACCAGTGCTGAGTACAGGGAGACCATTACTGCCCTGGTCCTGCTGGCCACACTATTGCTGACAGGGGCCAGGATGCCACTGGGGCCACTGGCCTTCTTGGCCCCACTGCTGGCTCATGTTCAGCTGCTGTCAACCAGCAGCCACAGGTCCTTCTCTGCCCAGCAGCTTTCAGCCGCTCTGCCCCAAGCCTGCATGGGGTTGATTCTTGACACAGGTCCCAAATTTGTTAGAGAAGGTGATGAGGAGAAGTCTAGTTAACTAAGTTAATGTGTTAACTTGCAAGTGAATTATAAAACTCATTAAAGAAATAACTTTTTTTTTCTCTTTCAGTATTTCACCTTCTTACAAGAGCCTACCATCTGTATCAGAGACTTTTCCAACCCTGAGAACGATGATTGAAGTACTAAATACAGACTCATCTCATTGTCTAAAAAAAACTATAGTTGTTGTATAATTTATACAAATAAAAGGCCAAGAGGTACTGCTTTGCAAATTATTTTGAAAGGCAAATTATGGTCAAAATGGTTTGATTTTATTTTGTTTTTTTTTTAATAGAACAAACTTACTTGACTATTTATCACCAGTTAAAGAAGTCTTTTTGTGACCAATAATATTAAAGAGGAAAAAAGAAGTAGAACTACTTTTTCATATTAAGACACACTCTAACAGAAATAGTTATTCAGGGGCCAAACTGAAGAGCAGTAAGAAACTTGATCAGTTATGAACTGAACATACTACAGGTGAAAATTTATTTAATAAAAAAATAGAAAAGTTATTGTCATTGGTAAAAATGCTATACTACTTCTCATTGTTTTTTTCCAAAGCCTCTGCACAGAAAACTTAAGAGCTCTACCATGTGTGAGTAACTGGAGAATACACAGGCATTTCATGTAGTGCAGCCCAGTGAAAGAACATAAAGGCAGCTTAAAAGAATGGGGTTCAGGGAAACATCATTAGGAAACAAAACCAAACCAATTACTTATTTGGAGTTAGGCTCTTGGTGAGTAAATGTCAGAAACAACAATCTCCCTTTCCAAATACCCTTTGATGGTGATGGTTGGCAGAAGTTATTAACAGATTGACAGGATTGAAGTACATGGGGAGCACTAGCTAGTGTTCCTCAAGTTGTTTTTTGTTGGACAGACTTGGCAGCATTCTGGAAAGGTAGGTTTCCTTAAACCATAATAAAGGCAAATTTGACTGCCTGTATGTTTAGTACTAATGAATTATGAATTCTAAACTTTCTTGATCAGAATTTCTGTAAAGGGCAAAAGTAGGTGGTTTTTTTGCAAGTAAGGCTAAAGGAGGCTTGTAAGTTTTCATTAAAAGAATTGGGATGTTGTCCATTTGTGACAGAGGTATTCCCAACATTCTGTTCTTAAGTACCTTCTTCTGTCCCACTAGAAATAAGCACTGTTTGCTTCTTCTCTTTAAAAGTCTAAAAGTTTAAGAAACCTCTACTACATTTCATTAAGGAGGAAAGGAATTGTTATTTTCCTGGAAAAACAGCAGCCTAGAAAATATGCCTAACTTTATACCTTGATTGTGTTCTAATGTGATCTTCCAAGCCTCTTCTAAGTTTTGTTATTCCTTGTATTATTCATTGAGAATAGGGAGTTATATTGCCATTTGACCAGACAGTCTTGGGAACTATAAAAAGAAGGGGTTTTGTTTTGGGGTTAGACCAGAGGGAGTGGAAAAGGGATGGTGGGGAAGGAAAAACCTGCCTGGACAAACAAACCATATGCAATTGTCTGGGTTTCCTTGTCCTCATTTCTTACTCCTGTGACTGACTTCGTCCCCCACCCCCTGGTGGCAGACAAAAGAGATTAATGGGAGATCACGGGAGTGTTCGGAGTAATGTGTGTTACACCTCTTATGAGTGTGTGTGTGCCTGCAAACGTGTTTCAAAGGCTTCTTTCTCTGGGCGAGATGCAGATGACTAAGAAAGAAAGAGAGCTCGAGTCAAGTGCTCTCAAACAAGTTTAACAAACAAAACAGGATGATATAACTGGGCTGGTATGTGATGACTTGGGAAACTAATTACCTCCGAAGAACCAAGTATGTGGAGAAATCTAATTTTCATTTTCCATCATCTTCTGTGTCATCTTAGCTGGTCTGGTGATACCATTTGAACTCTTAAATGGGAACAATTAACATATTGCAGTCTCAGTCATTTATCTATTAAGAATGATACTAAAGAAAGCAGACTGAGGAAAAAAAGGTTAAGCAGTGAAAAACCATTAATCTGAACCTCAGTGTCTGTGCTACTTTGTAATATATTTTGAAGATAATAAAAATTCCCCTGTAACTACCTAGGCCAAAAGTCAAAATAGACTTAGTTGCACATAAATCTTCTGACATATTTGCCTATCTTAGGTAAACTTGATATTGTTGTTGTTTGTTTTGTGGAAGGGAACTATGCTTCCCCCACCCCACTCCAGGAGACTAGTCATCTTTTGGGAATTTGTGCGTGGAACCTCAGTGAATCTTTGGCCAAAATAAGGACTTGTTACCAGAAATGAGCATTTGTACAGTAAAGGAAGACACCAGAAAACCTAATTATTTCAGCCTTTAGGCTTCTGTTTTACCAATGTAACTAATGCCTACTGCACAGACTTGTTACACCCAGGCTGCAACTTTACTATCAAATTAATACCGAGGCTTTGGACCGTCTTGCACCCTAACTGGTGGAGTTGGACAAAAGTGCCTTGCCAGGCATCCTCTCTCGTCTGACAGCAGCTGCTGTCTTCTACCTTGTTAAGAAACACGTACGACTTATTTAGGGAGTGAAGAAAGGCAGGTTCTTGGGCACGGTGCTCCTCTGCCAGCTGAGGCAAGTCCTTTCCTGGTGCTTCTGGCCCCGGCAGCGTGGGAATACTACAGCTTACCACCTCGGCTAAGAAGGGGAAGGGCTGTGGGAGACGAGCGCTACGGGCAGGAACACTTGAGGGCCGCGAGGCCCGCTCAGCCCCCCGCTATCGACGGTACCGAGCCCGAAGCAAGCCCGGGAGGCGGCGGGAGAAAGGCCGGCTCCCTGCGGCGGGAGCGGCGGGCGGGCGGCGCCGTGGTGGAGACGGACGGGGCTGCCGCGGGTTGGGCGTGCGGGGGGCGGGCAGCGGCGGCCGCCCGGCTTTATAGGGAGCGAGGGAGGCGGCGTCTGCGGGAGGGGAGCGGAGGAGGCGGTTCTCTTCCCGTTCCCATCCCCAATCCCGCCGGGCGAGTGCGGGGCTGGGGACGGCGGGGTGGCCATGGCCTCCATGGCGGCGGCGATCGCCGCTTCCCGCACGGCGGTGATGAACGGGAACCGTCCGTTGGACGAGCGGGAGCGCAAGCGGTTCAGCTACTTCTCCTCGCTGAGCCCCATGGCACGCAAGATCATGGCGGAGAAGGAGCGGATCCGCGAGCGCTACGGGCCCGAGTGGGAGCGGCTGCCGCCCCGCCAGCAGGACGAGATCATCGACAAGTGCCTGGTGGAGCCGCACGTCCAGGCCCGCTACGCCGCGCACCGCGGCACCACCCGCCCGCCCGCGCCGCCCGCCTCCTACCCCAGCCTGCGCCTCAACACCGGGCAGAAGGTGGTGCGCTTCGGAGACGAGGTACCGGGCGCGGGGGAAAGGGAAGGGGTGCCGGGGGTCCGGGCGGGAGCGGCGCTGCCCGGCCCCGGCACCGCCGCACGGGCGGGGCGGGGCGGCTGCGACCTCCCCGGGCTGCGGTGCCGGCGGCGCTGGGCTGCCCGGGGTGGCGGGCGTTCCGCGAGTTGCCCGGGTGATGGGCTTGATTCCTTTCCCCGCTGCCTGGCTGTGCGGCAGGGTGGGATGTTCACCGCGCGAGAGGCGCTGGGTCACACCGTAAAGGCAGGGAAGGCGCCGGCAGCGATAGCGCTGAAGTGGATTTTGCAGAAACACTTGGAGAAGAGAACGGTCTCAGTTCCCCCGACGGCGGGGCATGGCGCTGGACATAGTCCCTTGCTGAAAATGGGCTGTAGGGAATGTTTACACTGAATTAAATCTCTTCCTTTTCGTTTCTAGTTTTAGACACGGTTAAAAATACAACACTGAAAACATTCCAGCGCTTGGCATGTTTGACACCTTAAAAAAATGCAGCCTGTTCCATGTCACATGCCAGGAAAAACAAGGGTGTGGAAAGATAGATGGCAAAAAGTATGGATTTTGAACCTTCTGAGAGCCATCTATCCAATGGTGAAGCGTGGTAGCCATTCTGGAAATCCACAGTAAAAGAGTACCCGGTCTGGAGCAGTGGGTCGTGTGAGCCCTGGAAGAGGAAGGTCTAACAATGCTTGAAGAGACCTGACAGTACTCTTCAGATATGGTGTCTCTTATTCACTGTATTGATTCCCTTAGTTTTCTATTCTTTTACATTTCTTTTATATTCTTTTATTCTCATATGATTCCAGAGCTAGGTTCTTTCATTATGTCCACATAATAACTTTAACTGACCTATTGTTAATTACGTGGCTTCTACCAGAAAAAAATAAAAATCTGCTTCTCCATTTGTAATCATCAATCCAGTTCAAAGAGAGCAGGGCTACTTTTAGGCTCCTGTCCAATATCCCTTGCAATGGGATTTCTAAGAAGCATGTGGGGCATACTGATACTGGGCATCATTGTTCCCAACCAGCTTTATGCCAGGAGACTGCTGCCTGTGTTTCCCCTGTCAGGAGGGTGTGATGCTGTGCTGCACACACATCATATCTAAAGCTAGAGAGATTAGGATGTAGCTCAGGTTTGTCTAGTTCATGTTATCCAAAATTCTAGATAAATATTCAATAGTAATGGCCAAAAAGAGGTGTAGAAGAAGGACACAAGACAACAAATTTGGTTGTGCAAACAACCTTTGAAAAGAAACTTAACTCTGAAGTTAGTAGTGAAAGAATTTAAAGAGTGTGGAAAATAAATATGTTCAGTTTTCCCGGCCTTGGAGAGCTCTGCTGTGCTTTCTGCTTTGAATTATGTGGATCTGGAAGGAAAGCAAGCATATTTGTAGGCTGTTGTGCTGCACTGTATGGAAATAATAATTTCCTAAACATCCAGAGAGTCCATCTGAAACTGGGCAAAATAGTTTTCCTCTCTTCTCCTCAAATACAGTTACAATATGCATAATGTTAATGTTTTTGTAGCCATTAACCAAAGAATGCATGGATCATCCAAATACTTGATACAAAACGTTTAATTTTGGAAGCATCTGCCTCAACTGACTTCCTCTTTGACTTCTAAGCAGAAGTTAATATAAATTGTTTCTACGAAGAAAAGAGATTCCACTCATTTTGGCATTCATCATTGCCATTTTATTTCTTCCAACTGTACTACCAAGCCTAGGAGCCTTTCCTGGCTCTCCATCTGATAGCTTCCTCTCCTCTGGCTCCCTTGCTGGCATTCAACCTGATTGTTGGACATTTGCCCTGGCTGACAAATTGTTCCTCCTTGTCTTGCTGTAGCAGAGCCACCGCCACGCCGGTCCCTCGCTGGTTCGGTTCAACTCTCCGGGCTTGCGAGCGCTCGGCCTGCAGAGCTCAGTTATCTCTGTGTCCTGCTCGGGTGGCTCGGGGAGCTGTGCCCCTGCTGCCTGTGTGAGACTCAGCTGCTGCACGCACCGTGGTCACCCAGCCCTCGCTCAGGACCGTTAGATTGGTCCTGGCTGCTCTCCTTGGCTGTTGGTGTATGGCATCCTAAGGCAAGGAAACGGGGAGTAGCCCGCATGCCTCAGAATCACTTGTGGATGCTGCAGCGCTTTCAGTGAGAGTATTTTGGCTTGATGATGTTCTTGCTGATACACCTGGCCCAAAAGTTTCATGTTTCCAGCCACAGCTCATCTTCCCTGTTAACTGATGTTGAAATGTCGTGATCTACCTGGGCTTGCTTAAGCACAGAAATTTGATCTCTCTGACCTTGTGTTCTTTGGAAGACGTGGTAGAAAGCAAACCAAGGATGAATACTGAAGATACTGATTTGCTGGTCTGGGCCTCTCACCGTTTCAGTCCCATTTTCATGCATATTGCCATTATGATAAGGTGGTCCAGAGGATATGTGTAGTGGTCTTGTATTTCTGGACAGTTGCTTCCCTCTTTCTCGTCTTCACCATTTCCTGTGTATCTCTTCTAACAACAGATTTATCTCCTGAACTTGTAGCCCAGGACTGTAAGTTCTCAAACTATAAACATCTCTTACATTCTCAAAACACCTTCGAGTATGTTGGCTGTGTGGGAAGGGTGTAACAGAACATCGATGTGCAGTAACAGGACTGTGGCGTCCTGTAGCCATGATCCAGTCATTTTATAATGCTAGAGCACTGCAGCACTATGTGTGACTCTTAGCAAATGCCTGGAGTCACTGCTCCTTCTCTTCCATCTTATCTTCACTGCAGCATCATCAGTCATGGAGTTGGTAGCTGAAGCCCTGGAGGCACTGTGAACAGTTTCAAAAGAGAATTGGGCTAACAGGGTCGTTTCACACCCCAGTGAAATAAGTTTTGTAGTGTTTGCTGAAGATTGACTTGCTATCATCGCACGTGAGCCCAGCACAGGAGGCTATTTGTTGCTTCACCATAATTTTCTGTGTCTGGACAGCCCAGGCCTCCTGACCAAGGGCTTTTGGATGCTGCAACAGAGCTTCCTCCTTCCAACAAGCCTCCAGTTGCTGGCATCTCTCCATTTATAATTTCTTCATTCTAATGCCCATATCAATAGAAATGGAGATAACTGAGCAGGGATAAATCTGGAAATACAAGCTGAGATTGAGCATGAATGTAGTATAGATGCATTATTTTTGAAATATGCTGTAAACCACGAGAGGAATAGGTGGAAAACCAGCAGTACGTGAGAGGCTACCACCCTTTACATGCTGTAGTGGCCAGCCTTTGATAATGCAGCTGATTTGGTGTCAGTTGATGCCGCTGGGTTCTCTCTGGTTCAGTGAAAGATAGTTTAGATAGTCAGCTTACAGCAAGTTCTCACTGTTCTCTTAATACCATCCCTCTTTATCCATAAGCATGTGACGTAGATATGGAATCAAGGTCTGATTTTTCCTTTGTTTTTTAGGGTTTTTTTTTTTTCTTTGCATGGATATTAAGTATTTGAACAGTAAAAGAGCTGGATGTGAAAGAACTAAACTTTACATTGGAAACAATGCCATATGCTTCAGGAAGTGGTAAACATTTTATGTGGAGGAAAGACAGGTAAGAGTTTGGTTAGCTTCATTCATTGAGTTTTAAGAGGGAAGCTTGACTTACCTGCCTTCAGGCAGAGATCCTATTTGTTTTACTTAGCCTTAAGAACTTTGACTTCAAAGGATCAACCCTTTTACCTCCCTACTTAAAATTGTTTTAAAGTAACAAATAATCAATATAGCAAAAACTTTTCTATATTGTTTGGCCTTTTAGAGATTTGCTTTTTAAACACCCAAAAACGGAAGGCAGCTTTTGAGTGCAATAAAGTCTTGTTCTAATAACACTTCTGAGAAGCATTTATTGGTGGGTTTGTGTCTTGCCCAGCTACTGTCAGCTGTGCTGAACAATGCTCATGTCAGATACAGGCACACTTCTAGCAGTGCCTTCCATTTTGAAATTCAGATGTTGTTTTGCAGCAAGCTGCCTACATATAGCAAATGTAATTTGTGATTCTTTTTTATGTATTTTGCAGCTGGTTGTTGAAGTCAAGTGTATGACCAGATATTTGCCTCTCTTTCTCACTCATCTTTTTCAGCTTTGAAATATGTTGCATGAGGCCCCATTTCTTACAAATAGGTTCTTTTTTTAACCCTGGTGAACAAAAGTTTATTTATTTGCCTTCTTGCTGGAAGAAGGCATTGTTGTGTGCTGAAAACAAAAGCTGATCAGATATGGATTTTTTCTAATCTATGTTGGTGATAAATGGCCTTGAATCCTTTTTCTCTAGGATTTCCAGTCATAATTCACTTTTGTTATTATTGAAGTAGTTGATTCTTGTCCTCCCAATTTCTTCAAGCATGTAAGAACTTGTATATTTTACAAAAAAAACTAAGTTACTTCTCATATTTTGTTGATGATAAACATGAATCAGGCAGTTTAGGTAGCACAACACAGTTCAGCAGTATCCTGTCTTTTCACTTGGTCCTCTGCATGTTCTCTGTGTGAAGACACATGAGGTTCAGACCACAAACTTCCTTCCCTTCCCTAACAATGGGCAGAACTTGTCAACTGTCTCCTCCATCCTAGCCCCAAGTACACTTCAAATAACCACAGACATCAATTGCTTGAAGGTTTGTATCCTCTAGCCACGTCTTATCCTATTTTGTTCTTTGCTATATCCTACAGACAATCTTGTGAATGTGGACAGGGTTCCTCAGAGTTAGTCTCTGAGGAGGGCAGGGCTGTGCAGCCCAAGAAACAATGAGCCACCTCCTTTTAAGTAAAAAAAAAAGAAAAAAAAGGATCCTTTTCTTTTAATGAACTGCTGCCTAACATGTGTCTGCCACTTCCATCTTATATAATCTGTGAAACTCTTAGGTTCTATCTCTGACCAGAACTTTTGACAACTGTTACCCAAATTAATTAATTCCAGGAACTTTTTACTTGCCTGTGCTGGACGTTGAGGTTGGAAATTGTGGTGCAAACAAGGAAAACGATGCTTGAGAATCAAGCTTCTATGAAGTGGGAGGCTGACTTGCTCTGTCCTGCAGGGAATGATGTATCCTGCTGCATGACAGCCTCATACTGCCACTCTGCCTTGCCCATGCTGCTTTCTCATCCCTCTATGGTCGGTCTTTTGTCCTCAGGGCTTACTCATAGCAGCGGTGTCACAGCTGACTTGAGGGTGTGCTGGGAGCGTTGGGTAAAGAGCTGTCCCTGCTGGTGCTGTCTTCTTGTGCCTCAAATACAGCAAAATAAAGAAGTGGATGTCTTGGATCCAGGATGAGGATGAACTTGGCTTACTGCCAAGTTTGAAACTGGTCCCCAGCTGGTTTGCTTGTCCTGTAAATGGCAAGAAGAAAGCTCTTCCTTTAAACTCTTTAGATAAAACCCACTAGCACCTATGCCTACACATCTGGAGCTTCAAGGTGCTGTGACTGCATGTAGGAATGTTACACTGCTGTCTGGACTTCAGTTCTGTCCTTTACTGCTGTGGTTGAATCAAGCCCTGATTTATCCAGACCCCATGAAGACAGAAGTGTTATAGTCCTGCTTATGTGTGAGACTCAATCCAATGGTTAGGTTCTCCCATCTCTCTTCCCTTCTGGGCCGTGATTTCTCTCTCATGCATGCTTCAGAAATGATGAGATCCAGTTTTTCAGAAATGAACAACTCCATTTCAGAGGCAAAGGATATTGTCCTAGAAGGAGTTTGAAATAATAGACCTGCTGTGAGGTATCACACGTTGAGTGGTGTGGCATTCCCATGCAGACAGCAGCACACCACAGTGCAAATGCTGATAGATCCTAAAAAGCAGCCTTCTGCTCCTTTTTTCCTGTAAATGTTAAAACATCTGAGAATCTGTTTCCTGGATTGAGAAAACCTGAATTACATTTATGTTCTTGGCAAAAATTTCCTATACCAAATTTCCTTTTGGCCACAATATGTGATTGAGAAGAGCCCAGGCCTTTCCTCTTAGATGAGCTCTACCAGGCCACTTCTTTTTAAGAGCATGGGATCACCCTCATATATACCACAAATACCTTGCTGCTAGAAACCCTGTATTTCACAGATGAGTAATAGTTGGAGTATGCCGTGTTTTTATGTTTAGGAGATGGTTTTAGACACTTCTAATCATGATCTCATAGCTCTAGGCCATAAAAATCTGCCTACGGTGAAATAAGAGAGGGCAGATCAGGAGAATATTATCAGATGTCTAAGATACATATTCCTAGAAAGGCAGAGACCAGAAATAAGAAGAAAAAAGCAGCCACAGTGAAATGTGGGGTTCTTGTGTTGTGTTAAAACTTGGTTGAGTTCTCTGAACAGCAGGAGTGTGAAAATCCTGCATGGTTACTCCTGACCTTTCCCTTTCCGTATGGTGTTCCCACTCCTGTTCTTCCCTGGTGTGCTGCGGTGTCCACAGGCAGTGACCTCCTCAGTGTGGAGGGTGCAGCTCATCACCTCTACCTGTGGGACCATCCAGTGTACCCCTGAGTCCCAGCCATGACTAGGGATAGAAATGCAACCATGTTGTTGTAATTCTTCAACAAATAGGAGCAACAATAATTTTTCAAATTATTTTCCACCATTTTTTCAGTGTGGGCTGCATGTATTTCTGGAGGGCACACCATGTGTGCAGAGATTGTTTAAATTTCTCTGTTTGGGATCGGTTTCAGAAATGCAGCATCTTCAAATAATGGATTTCAGATTTTGTGCTGTGGGTGCCTTGTGGCTCCTTCAACACCACTGAACATGTATTTCAGAGTGGCCGTCACTGCCCTGGTGCGATGATGTGTCCTGTTGGGGCTGGATCCGGCTGGGGCTTGGCCCGATGGCCACGCAGCTGTTTCACTGTCCCACTACTGCCTGGTTGTGCATGTGCTCTTTGGTCTGCCGAAGGGAGTAAATGGCACTTGATTTCCCCTGAGGCCCCTTCTCCTTTTGTTGTTTCTGTCCCTGTGTGTTGCTAGTGGCTACCAAAAAAAAAACGCCTAGTAGAAGACTGGAAATCTAATACATTTTAAAGCTATTTGTGGAGAAACCATTTCAGGAGATTTAGACCAGGTTAAACCTTCATATATTTTGTAGATTGAATTGGTATAGTATTGATAACCTTCCCCTCAGAGGACCTGCTTTCAGTCAGTCTTAAAATGTAATCAGTGCCATCTTTAAGTACTGCTTTCACTTTCTAGTCAGTTCTGTAGCAGTGGGTGTTACAGTTCCAGCAGTGTAACAAAATGTCATCTGTGTGATGCTTCTGAGAAGATGAAGCTACTCTTCTGATTTTTAGTCATTCTTCAATTTTATTTCAGGACATAACTTGGCAAGATGAACACTCAGCTCCATTCTCCTGGGAAACAAAGGTAATTAAACAGCTTTTTTGGTTTTTTTTTTTTTTTTTCTGTTGCTTTGTCATTTTATACTGCTTCTACTGCATTTATTGTCTTAATTTTGTTATTTGATAGATTAATGTCACCTTTATTCTATGCAAGCGGTATAAAGTGACTATGCTGCAAATCAAACAGGACTGGTATGCTTTGATTTACATCAGGAGAAACTCAAAATGTACTTGATGAACTAATGTTCTGGCTTTGAGTGCAGATGTAAAACCAATTCATTACAATTTTATTTTTTGTTGCAAACTTTTTGATCAACTTTCCATGTTTAGTGTCTCAGATGCTGTATAAACATAGCTGCATTTCACTTTTAGGTCAGGAGTAAAGTAGCTAGAAAACGGTGTGAGAAATGTGCAGGTATCTCATAACTTCACTGGATTCTTTCTGAAAGCCTGTCTAGTACTTCATCTTTTTATTATGAACTAGAATGTTGTCTTAGGACAAATATAGTGAAACTTACTAACCTAGGGCCATGCTAGAAGCACTATGTTATTTTCTTTCCAGAAGTCTCCTTAAAAGAATAACATATTTTTCTGTGGTGAGTTGGTTTGGGGTTTCTTTTTTTTCACTTTATCTCTGGTATTTTGTTAAAGCATTATTTATGATGGGATTCTCATGTGGCTAACACAGAGCCAGAGTTCTCCATCTTTCTGAGCCTGCAGTGTGAGGAAACACAGTTGTGCCATATGTATGGTGGGAAATTAAGTTTAGTTATTCTTGTTGGAAAAATATTGGGAGCAAAACCACAGCTCATTGTCTTTCTCAGCTGGGTATGGCAGGCATGTTAATTTAATCACACATTTCAGACTTTGTGTTTTCTGCCCTTATCTGCCAGAGAAAGCTGCTACTGCCCTGTTCCCTATTTCTTTCTTTTTTTTTGCCCTTGAACTATGTAGATAATCATGTATGACCTTATGAATATAATCTTAGCCTAATGCAGAGTAATTATTTGGAAATACCAGTGAATACTAAATTAATCCAGTTGACCTGAGACTTAGCCCTCCCTGCTCAAGGTCACTGCCTGTAGCTGCACCCCATCTGTGCTTTGCAGAAGCTGATTAACCTATAACTTGTTGTGACTCCTGGGTCCTGGCAGCCTGCAGTGCTGTGGTTTAAGACAAATCAATGCCAGTCTTCACTTGCCTTAAAACTCCCTTAAAAGCTGTGATGGTTGAGGAACCAGTAGAGGATTTTCTGTGTTTCCCACTTTCCCCTCTCCCTCCTTGCTGACCAGAAATAAAAGCTGTGCCACAGATGTGGGCTGAAAAGTTGCATGACCTTTTTCTTTAGCAAAAGCCTAGAGAATCCATGTTGTCTGGATTTAATGTGTATGGTTTGGTCAGTTCCTGTGGATTCTTCCTTTTGGTTTTTCCCCAGTGTATCAATCTTTCAACCAAATCCTTCCACTGCTGAGTCTTCCTTTTCAAAAGTGGGGATCTTGCTTTGTGCTTACTCTTTGATCTTCCCTAACTTTTATGAGGTAATACTGGAAGGCAATTTTTAATGAGGTATCAGCTGAGGAAAAAGTAGCCTTACTCAAGTGGTCCCACGTGAGGAAACCTGAATGAGCTGTTCAAGAAGGTTGGTGTGTTGTAATGCATTGTTCAATGTCCTGTGAGCCAGACCTGTTCCCACTGTTATTTAAAGCTGTCAGGCTCTTTCGATTCCGTGGGCTGTCATGGAACAACCCAGGATGGGTTGCTCTTTCCATAACACTCTTCTCCCTGATCTCCCTTTAATGCAGAGCTTTTTGTTTGTTTTGGGATTTTAGAATGTTGCCTGAATGTGCACAAATATGCTCTGGCTTACCCAAGGAAGGGAACATGGCTTTTGCAGAGCAGAAGAAAGTAGAGATGTAAATCAGTAAAACCAATAGGCTTTTTTTTTTTTTTTTTAAACACTGAGACAGAAAAATAAAGCAGCAAAATGAGTATTTTCTGTAACTAACATGAGGGAAACTGTGAGGGTAGTGAGAAGTGTAGAGAAGAGGAGAGGGTATGTATTCTCCCAGGCTGAAGGCTCCCAGCTGTAACCGTGATGCCAGCAGGGATTCTAGTTGATAAGGTATTGACAAATTTTTCTCATTGTAGCTAGTGCCAAAGATTCCCTACTTCCATGGCAGTCAAACTTACCCAGAGAGCAGTGTACTGAATTGCTGTCATTTTGTTCAGAACATTGTTGAAGGACTTGGTGACTTCACTTGTGTTACAAGTAAACTTTCTGTATTCTCATTTTAAACACAAATGTGAGATAGGGCTGCAGTTGTTCATATCACAACAAACACTCGCATGAATATCTCCACTATTTTTAGATGATGATTTCTTGTCTCACCTTTTTATTTTTAAATCCTCAGACAAGGCAAACAAGGTAGAACTACAATGTAAATTGCCAAGTTAGCTGTTAGACAGCATTTAAAATAATATTTTCAGTAGATAATGATAACACTTCTCAGAAGGAAAATTTGGGAAGCAGTGAGTTCACTTGGCACTGCAAAAGGGCTGACACTATAAAACTAAAGATTGAATAGGAGGGAGCGATTTGGTTCATGGGTGGAGCCCTCATGGACATAACATATCTTGAAATGTGGATTACATTTTTAACTGGAGCTCTACCCAGGTTTATGAATCCAGGGCATTCTGTTTATGGCTCCAGGTTTACATGAGATGAAAGATGACATTTTGGCTGAGTTTAGCCTTTGAGGTTTCTTGGTTTGTTTGAAGCAAAAATTCAGTGAAACTCAGCACAAACCTCAAGATATAAATGGAAAACAAGAATCATGCCTGAACTTGGAAGTAAAATTTCTCTGCAACTCTTCCTGAACTCAGAACTTTATGGGTTTTGTGATTTTAGATTTGGGCAGGGGCAGGGGGGCTTAATTAATTTAGTAATGGGCAGAAAATATTTCATTTTGCCACCTCAGTTAACACACAGAATGCACTGAGCAGCATGGGAATAAATTGCAATTTACCTCTAATTCATGCTATTAATGAAAATAGGTTTTATTCCAAATACTTTGACACATGCATATCTAAAGATTTATTTTTCTTGATACAGGTAGAATAGTTGCCAATTCTCTTCTGTTTTCAACAGGCCCTCAGGTATTTGTTGAAAAGAGAAGCCTCTGTGGTGTGTTTAAAATAAAACAAAGAAAAAAAATCCCCAAAAATGTAAAAAATGCTAAATGAGGAAGTGACAGGCTTCAATCTCTTCAATAATCTGGTGCTGCCTCCCTGTCTGAATTCCCTAATTATATTGCTACAGAAGTGATCTAATCCCAGAAATCATTTAGGAAGAAAACAGCTATGTTCCACTTGTAATAAACACGCTTTACCAACTGTTTCCTTTATCTAAAATCGAGGCAGTCTTAAGTATCCTTCTTTGTACAAGCCCTAGTTAGTGTTTTGTTTTAAATAGGAACACAGTGGCAGAAGAGAATTTTTTCCTTCCTTCCTTAGCAGCATTATATTATAATTGTTTGTTACAAGCTATAATTTGGTGTGATTATTTTTACCAAGCTGGCCTAAATGGCAGCACTTCCTTGGAAGGAGAGTGATCCCTGAGCTTTTGAGATTAGCCCTCTCTTTTTGATTTAGACTATATATGTTTAAAACACAGTGCTGTAAAACTTCTGTTGACTATTAGTTCTTGAGCAAAAAAAAAAAAAAATCCCACCAAACCCAACCTGTGGTAATAGAAGCTGTGTTCAAGGTTTATTTTAGTCTGTATGGCCAAGTGTTAGGATTCAGTTACCTGCATCAGTCTTTGTTGGTTTTGAGCATAACACCAGGCACTGTCAGTACAAGCTTGCTCAAGCTAGCCAGAAACAGTGGCTGGCTGGATTCAGTTCATAGCAGCAGGGTATAGAATGGAATTTCTTCCAAAGGTCCATACTATATAACATTAGCATTGTCCTTCTGTATGGACTAAAATTACTTAGATTGGTTTTGAGTGCTTTGCTCTATTTTTTGCCCTTGCAATTTGCCTCTGCTGACCTAAGGATTTCTTTCTGGCTCTGAAAAAATCCTGAAAACACCCACAGTGTGCACAGGAAGCAAAGCAAAAACTGCAGCTGCTTTGGGCCCTATATTTATTTTGGTTCTGTCTATTCAGCAAAGCAAAGTCATCTTCTAAGTCTTTTTAAACTGGCTTTTTTACCTCTGCATTTATCAGGCTGTGCTTAAAACAAGTTGCTTTTGACAGTGTTTCTGTAGTCCTTGTCTCAACAATTTGTGTTTTTCAGCCTGCCAAGCAAAACAATTGTTTTGGCTGTATTTGCATGACTGCTTAGTAAAATACTTCACATTCCTGATGAGTGAATAAGAAGCTTTAAAAGTTCCTGGGTTCTTTGTGATCATCTTGTTTTTAATATGTACTTATGAACTGAGACCTGATTTCATACAGTATAATTAAATCATAACATTCTCAGTGCCTCTGTTGCCTCTCTTTCAGCATATGTTGTGTCCCATGAGTATATACAGCCACTGTTACAATTTAGTGGATTATTGCTGCCTTGAGACTGAAGTTTGGTCTAAATTCTTTAATCCAGTAAACAAAGTTCCTAAATACCTTTATATGGTCTTTTTAAGGAAAGATGGACATGCAACCTCCTAAAACCTGCAATTTATAATATTGTTTATATTTATGATACAGAAAAATGATCAAGACAGGACATCCTTTATTTAAACCCTTGCAGTAGTTTGGGACCAGAGAGATAAGACTGAAAGGAGCACAGGCTTCTAGCTTTGCTTTACCTCAAAATACTTCTTTGTGCATGCTTTCACATGCACTCTCTAGCCCCTCTCTCTTAATGAGTCGAGAAAGACTTGCTCATGCAATATCTTGAAAATACTGCTGCTGTTAATAGCTTTTATTTGAATTCCAATAATTTCTAGAAATTGCAGTTGGGACTGTACTAGTCTGTCTGTAAACTCTTGAGACTTTCTGGGCTGAACAATTCCCAGAAATACCATTTGGACAGATGGTAGGAAAAAGAAAATATTTTTATTTTATTCCTCAGATGGGGATTTATACATACAGAAACTGCAGCTCGTGTAAAGTAATACAAAATCAATGAAATCAGCAGGGAACTGAAACCCTCTCTCTAGAATCCCAAACTGTGCCTGAAAGACAATTCACGTTTGACCATGAAATCACACCCCACTTTTCAGTGTTTGCCTCCCCAGGGTGGCAGCTGGTAGAGTGCCACAAGTGCAGTTCTGCCTCTGAGCGCTGCATGGGCAGGTGCAGCTCACAGCAGCTCTGCCCCAGCCTGGGGAAGGCAAATCTTTACAGGTGAGCTGCTATCCTAAGTTTGGCTGGGGCCAGGAGAGATGTGCATCAAGATATTCTCATAGCTGGCAAACCTAAAGGAAAAGGACATTTTTTGGGAGGGAGGGAGGTTGCTGTCTTTTAAATACAGTTTGCTTCCTTCTCCTGCTGACGCAACCAATTGCCAATTTGCAATCTGATGTAAGAAACTGAGAGCAGAACTCTAATTAAAATCACATTTGTAGTGTCTAGTGACTCATTAGAGTGTACAGTACTATTCATTACTTCGATATCAGCATAGGGCGTTTCACACATGGGCCTTTTTTATCTCTGTGAAATTATCTTCCTACTTGGGCTGCTGCTCTGTTGTTTGGTTTGTTTTTTCCTTGCGGAGGAGGGTGTTTTATTGCCAATTTTTTTAACTGGAAATATATTGCCTATTAATCATTTTCTTTCGTCAGCTACATTTCTTAGGGGTTTAGATATGTTAAATAACCTCAGAAGTCAAATAGAAGCATTATGTATTTCAGGGAAAATAGAGTATCTTGTGACTGGTCCACAGAAGTTCTTGGCTTCTGGAATTACATGCTAGAAGCAGAATTATCCCTGTGACCTCTCAGAGCTGTATTTACATCATGCTGAGACACAGTGCTTTCAGAAACTGTCGGGGTAGTCTTGTCTTCTTTGCCTTCCTTGTGGGAGAACAAAAACTCTAGAAAAAGTATTTTCATTTGGATTATTCTGTGTCAGGCTATGAACTGTTTGATCTCCAGAGCACTCCATGAGACAGATATGCAATCTCAAATGTCAGGTGGTCCTGTCTTCTGAAATGGGTGCACCCCATGGTCTCTCCACAAAAGGGCAAAGAGGACATCCTCTCCAGAACATGCATCCATGAGCAGGTTGGAAAGGTACAACTGCCTGAAGTGCTGCTGCAGTGCTACGCTTCTCTACACTAGGAGCGATGTGCCACTTCCAAACCACATCTCTGAGTTGATATTTTTCCCCATGAAAACAACATAAAATATCACCACAGTCAGTGGCTTTAGCTCCACAGCCTGAGAACTTCTCAGAAGGCCTGGCTTTGCTTGTCTGGCTAGGTGCTGTTGAAATGCAGAACCATCTTCTTGGTTTACTTTTTTTCTAATTTTTGTTTTAACAGACCCATACTTCCCTTCCGTGGGTGTTTTTTCTGGATTTTATTTCCAACGCTGCCCTGGTGGACCTGGGGGCTATGATGGCTCTTCTGCACTCTGGGCACTGATCTTCCCTCTCCCTTGGGCTGGGGGGTGAAGGAATCATTCTACTGAAAGTGACTGCTGCTGTGATGGCCTTTAGCTACTGTCATCCCCAGTGTGAGCCCCAGGACAGGCTATTCAGAAGACAGCAGACTGCTGCAGGACAAAAAGTAGTGCTGTTTTAATTCCTACATAACTTAAGTCTTCCAAGATGGATTTTCTTTTTTTGAACCTGTCTTTGATTTTTAGAATCTGCCTTTTCTTTTTTCTCTTGGCTGTTGGGGAATTGCAGGTCTATTTTATATTGTGTTGTGGGTTTTTTTAAGCTGGGATTTTATCAGTTCTAAAGTCTTAAAGCATCTTAACTTCAGGGTGGTAAGTCACTATTCAGTAATACTGCCAAATGAGCTTAGGGAAATAAATCCCTATATTTTAATATAGGGAATGGCAGTCACTGTAAATATTCCTCAACATATTGCATCTATGGTTTGTTTGTGCAAAATTTATCTGTGAATAAATATCCTGCTCTTAATTTTACGTCATGACTTGTTTAAAAAAAATAAATCAGAGCAGTAAGGTTTTTCCTCATAGTTTTTTGCAGGCAGGGTAGGGTGTTGAGTTGTTTGGTAAGACTTGCGTGTATCCTTACCCTCACCTTATTCTAGCTGAGCTATAATTACTTGCAGCTTGTTTATGTTCTGCATCTTTTGATAGCACAGTATATTCTTCATGAGAACATGGAGCTTGGTGCTCTTGCCTACAGCCTTGGAAAAACGATGCATCTAATTCTTTAGAAAGGTCAGATCTAAGTCCATGAATCAAATTATGTGTAGTCAGCTGCTGACTATTAAAAAAAATGTTTTATAAATAATCAGTTGCTGGGTTAACAGTTGTTCTTTGATGAGAAGTTTCTGAATATTAACTACTAGGCATGTGAGTCCTGCTAGATCTAGAGTCCCTTTGAACTTCACATGCACAATAATGTAGGACTCAAGATCAAACACTTCAGTGAAAATTATATGCAACTAGGACTTGTTTTAGACTGAAGTCCATAGATGCTATTGCAGTTTTATTCAGGAAAGGCTCAGCAATGAAGTGGAATGGTGAAGAAACATCACAAATTTGTAATGAACTTTCAAAGTGTCTTTCAACCATTTCAACCAAAAGCTAAAAGTCCTCTGGAGTTTTTTCAAACCCAATCAGACCCATGATGACAACAACACAGCTTTAACAGTAAAAGCATTTTTTTCCCTTGCATTATTTGTTCCTTTTTACAAACACAAGTCTGTGTATTAGGTTGTTCTTTCCTGGTACATATGCTTACATGTTTCTCAGAGGGTAATAAGGCTTAACTTTTATTAGCCTGAAGAGTGTCTAGCTCATTGAGAATCATTTTACTGATGTGGCAGTAAGTAAAACAAACATTTTGAAGTACTGTTCAGTTTTCTGTGACTTGTAAGATTTTTTTCATGCATTAACTGTGGTCACTTGCTTCCTTGGCCCAGTGTTACCTCTCAGAAGTGGGTACAGCTATCTCAGCACTCCAAGTGAAAACAAACCAGGGCTCTGGAACAGGTGAAGAATGGTCCTGATGGAGTTATTTCTCTTTCTTCAGAGGGGCATTAGAATTATACAGTGATTCACCTATGCATCCCATTACATCTAATCCTTTATCTTGGAAGCAGATGGACCTGTAGCCAGCTATTTCAAAGACTATAATGGAAAACTGCCTTTTGAGCTACACTCTGAAGCTTTTTTTGCTTAAAATTTTCTTGTAAAACATCTCTGACTTTCAAAATGCATCTGCAGCTGTTGTAATGTCTTAGTGCCGCTACTCTAATGTTTCAGTGCTGTGCACTGCTGCCTTAGATGGCACTGAGTAACTCCAATACAATTGCTTTCCCTGTCTCCTCTGCAGCAGGTCTGGGAGTTTTATGTTTGCTTGCAGTTCAGACTTTTAAAAATCATGATTTTTATGAAACTACAAAGATAGACATTTATGGAGGAATTAAGTTAGCTTTGCTGTGGTATCTGTTGTCTGAGAGCTGTCTCACAGTGGGCTGAGGCGTTATCTGTGTGCACCAGGGTCAGAAAGTCAAAACTGTATCTGTGTGAAGCTCTTTGAAATGCTGTTTTTCTGTCCCTGAACAGAGTCAGATGGAGTTCAGCATTGCATCTCTCTCCATACAAGAGCAAGGTGGTGCCCAGATGCAGAATGAGCAGAGGCAGCCTGTTAAGGCAGCACCTGGTGTCCAAGTCCCTAAATCTTCTCAGGCCAATAAGACCTCTGGCTCTGAGGGGTTGATAGCATCCAGAAAGGAGGAGGAATCATCCTTCTGGAAGATAAACGCAGAGCGCTCAAAGTTTGAAGGAGACAAGTCTGAGTTCCAGTCCCTGACCCCCAGCCAGATCAAGTCCATGGAGAAAGGAGAGAAGCCCCTTCCCTCTTTTTACAGACAAGAGTCTGCTCCAAAGGAGACGACCAAAGCTGAGAAGCCCAGCATAGCCAAACCAGAGAAGTCTGTCGCCCCCAGCACACCTTCTGTGTCTCTCGAGTGGGAGAAACCTCGACCTACTCAACTCCCTACTAGTTCTCTAGATGACTTCTTTCTTCCCGATCCACCACAGGATCTGGCATCTTCTAGGACAAACAAGGAGGATACTGATGGTACTATACTTACAGACCCACAAATGCCTGGACAGGTGAGTACTGCTATACCCATTGTCCTCATATTAAAAACTGTACAACAAGTACAGTTGTCAAGGCCCCTCTGGAAGATTAGGGACTCCAAAAATCACTAAGCCGTAGCTCAGCTTGGTGGCTTTTTTGTCTTTCAAATGTGAAGAAGTCTATTTAATCTGTTATTTAACAGTCTGTTCAGCACATTAACTTCAATTAAGTGCTTTTTAACATACAGGATAAAGGCACAATTTAAATCTAACACCAGAAATGCTGAAAAGGCACCAAGTAGCTCATTGACAGCAACCTAGCAAGTTGCTGTATCACATAAAAGAAGTTGTGGGGTTTTGGGGTTTTATTTGAAAAAGCAAAACACTTCATGAAAATAATAAGCTTTTTAACTTGCAAAGTAGGTGAACTAGGGTCTAGCATACTTTATTGGTACAGCATAGTGGTGAATGGTGAACTGGTTCTCAGCTGTTCCAAGCAGTAGCCTGACAGCCACTTCCCAGTGCTTTGTCCCAGGCAGCTATGCTGCTTTCAAATGTGTTTTCTCTTAAAGTCCAAAATAGAAATAGAATGAGCTTCCAGAATTAGCCTTCTCAATGTTTTTTTTTTTTTTTAATGAAAAAACCCAAACAACCCAACAACAAAAAATAACCTTAAGCAGCTCAATAGCCAGTTGAAGCTATTTTAAAAAGCAGATGCTGATCTGTGAGAAAAGAAACAGCAGGACATGGTACAGGGAGGGGGAAAAAAAGAATGAGATCAAAAGCTTGAAAACTGTGAAGTAGAGGAGTGGTGCTTCAAGCAGAGCTGTGCAGTTCTGTTTGAAATCTGTGGCATTGCTCTGGCAATAGCCTGACACATTACTGTACACCTTCAGCGCTTCACACAGCTTTTTCAATTTTATGTTTTTCTATTTTTCCAACTGTGATTGTTCAAATTCGAAACAAGATGATGTAAAGTCAGAAAGACGCAGAGTGAGGTAACTGGTTGTAAGAAAAGTAAGTGACAGCACTTAGGAGAGAACAATACTTAAGCCACTCCAGTATTTGAAGCCCTCTGTTTAGTTACCATCTTCTGAAGCTGAGGGATAATGCTTCCTGAGCTGCCTAGCTACAATTTGTGAACATGGTAGTCCTTTAATTTGAGTTAAAGGCTTTATCATGTTTTCTTACAAATTAACAGTTTCAATTGCTTTTTGAATGTTTTCAAGATAACTGAAATAGTTTGAAAAGCATGTTTTTTCTATTTGTGGAGAAACAACCCTTCCATGTGAAAATGGGAACAGAGGAGCAGAGAACTTAATGTATTATAAGGAATTCTTCTTTTCTGGGTTATCTTCCCTGTTCTGGGAAGCCATGCTCTAAGAAGAGAATCCAGAGACTCAGCTCTGGAATACTCTTCCTAAACTCTTGAATATTCTTCTAAACACTAGAATCACCTTAAATGTCATGGCTAACACTGCAGGAATGAGTATGTTCTGGATAGCCTAGTAAATAATTTGTCATCAAAGTTTAATCTGTGTAGTTTTCTGCAAACAACTGACTCTAATTGCAGCAGACAATCTGTTGAATTAAGGATGCTTGCCTTCTGTGTTTGTTTCATTCTTTGTAATTCCCAATGTAGTCTGAAAAATTGATCTTCATTAATTTTTTCCACGAGGAAAAAAATCAAAATATTTTGCCTGCATACCACAAGAATAATTTTATTTTTATCTGGAATGGCCTTTTTGGGCATTGTGAGTATTTTGCCATGTCATGTCTAGCATTTTATGGTGTAGGTACTTAGGTATCCTAGAGCGTAGTAAAGATCTTGAAATATTGTCAGGCAACATTTTAAACTTTAGGTTTTAGATAGGCAGACAAATATTGAGTTTGTAATACCATAGTTAACAACTACATCTTATTTCTCTTTTTTTTTTTTTTTACCTTGCAGACTAGTACAAGCAATGTAATCTTGAAGACTGGCTTTGATTTTCTAGACAACTGGTAAAAGATACTGCAGAACAGATCAAATCAATTTTGGGGAAGGAGTGGAACACCCTTCTCCTTGTATGTTAATTTACTAGCATTCGTGTCTTTTTCTAGAAGTAACTTTCAAACTCTTAAATGTTGCCTTTGTATAAACTTTTGTAATACCGTATATGTTTTTGTTTTTTAAACAGTGATAGAAGTGTGGTTTCATTTGGATATTTTTTAATATCTGTTAAAATTTTTTGTAGCTACTGTATTGAGAGAATGGGAGAAGTTACTGTATACATGTTAAAGAAACACAAATGAGTCTCTGTATCCTAGAGATGGAACCTACAGGACCAGATTGCAGTTTTCAGTGGAAACCTTGCTAGTGTGGCTTGTAAGAAATAGTGTTGCACCTGCAGTGGTTCCAACCATACTTCAGATAGCTAGCAAAAAAACACTATGAAAGGCAAGCACCCAGAATTGCTTTGATTTGTAGATTTCATTTCCTTTGAAAGTATCTTTTGTACCACTACTGAAGACACTTTCTTCTGAAGAAGGCAAAGGCATTGCCAAAATGATGGATCCAAAAAAGCACTGTGGTTGTACCTACAAATCTGCTAAAATAACTTAAGAGTGTTAAAAATTACCTGGAGAAATGGTGTTTCTGGTGTTTGGATTGAAGATTGGGAAGTGGGTAGAAAGGAGTGGGACAACACCTAATGAATTGGAGAAATTCTTCAGGGAACACAATTTCACTGCCTCTTTACTAGAGCATAACTCTTCATAATACTAGTGCTGGAACTACAGCACTGAGGATTTCTGGAGTGTAGATTACCTTTGTGTCGGTTAACCACTATGTTTATGGGAGGTCACAGCAGTGTGAGGCTTTTTTGTTTTTTAAGCAGCTTATCGTCTCAAGGACTCATCAACTTTGGTGCTTTTTCCTCCTTGTGGGTTCATCCTCTTTAGTGTTCAACATCTGGCTTACATTTATTCCTAAGGTGCAGAGAGGCATCTCAAGGTGGTCCTTGGCAGTGTTGCCTCCAGTTCTGCTTTTGAATGATCTTTGATGTTTAAAGTGTAGAGAACAAGAGTAGCTGTCCTTTGGATCTGTTGTCTCTGAAATGCAGCATGATTTACACACTGAATCTCACTGTGTTTACCTCACCTTGAAGCCTTAATTCCCCTACGCACAGCCAGTGACTGGTCTGCTCCAATGCCAAAGGTTTGACTTTTCCCTTTACCTCAGCAATAGTCCCATAGCATTTGTTTGGGGTAGAAGGCAAAACATAGGGCTCTCATGGGTCCCAGCCAAGGCTGTAAGAAGGTCACCATCTCCTAAGCCATAGCTGTGCTAGGCTTCTCGTGGATTAGCACTTGACATTTGGTTCAGTGCCAGGGGCAGTTAAATGTGCAGAATTGGGTGCAGCAGGATTTTTTCTGCTTGTTACGGGAAGAGTTTGCAGTGTCCTGGAAGAATCCTTGCCTCTAATTGGTGTGCTGCTTGCTCTGAACAAGCAGTGTGCTGATATAGCATTAAAATTTACTTGTTGGACAAGGAAAATGCTGTAAGCATATCCCCCCCTTTCTTGCCCCCACACCCCATCAAAAAAAAACCTAAAAAAACCAAAACACCAAGGCCAAAACCTCCACTTTTTATAGTGTTTTCTTAAAGGGTTCCTTAGCTAAATGGTAAGATCACCACAGAGTAGAAGCCATTGTATAGCATATTCTTATTTATAGGCTTCTGAAAGCTTTTTACATTGTTCCTGAGATGTACAAACTCCTTGTCATGGGTTGGCGCTGGCGCAGTGCTAGTGCACCTATGAAAATATATTTTTCTCAAATGACTGCTGTGATATGTCACCAGGAACAGAGCAGAGCAGGCTTAAGCTTAGAAATAAGGAAAAAAACTTTATTAAGCTACACCATTAATAAAAGGAATACACACAGTTCAGAATGAAAACTTTCCAAAACATTCTTCCTCCTTCTACCTAATTTCTACTAAAGCACAGTGAGACAAAGCCTTGGATTCTTAGGTGTTACCACCTCTCAGATAATCAATTCTCAGTCTATCAAGGGAGAGAGGAGTTTCTCTTGTACCATAGTCTTCTCTAGGAAACACAGTTGAAACTTCTTATGTTTCCATGTCACACATGGCACCACCCGAAGAAAATCTGCTATCATGACATCCTCCTTCTATGTACAATGCTCTCACTACTGTCTATGGACTAAAACTGCTTAAAGGGTTCTTTGTAAGGATGCTTTGCCAAGTACCAAAAAACAACAGTCTCATTTTTGTGACAACAGTCCCCCCTCTTTTCACCTTCCCTGGGGCCGAGGGTCTTGAGAAAAGAGATCTTCTCTGAAGACAGAGGGCACCACTACACCCTCCTGCAACAGTTTCCCATTTTGGGACAACAGTACCCCTCATTTTCACCTCTCTGAGGCCGAGGGTCTTGAGAACATCATTTTGGGACAACAGTCCCCCCCCCCATTTTCACCTCCCTTGGGCCAAGGGTCTTGAGAACAGCAGGTCACTCTCTCTCCTGCACGGGCAATCACTACAGCAGGTCATTCTCTTGGCTCAAACCACTGCATCCCCCAAAATGCAGTCTCTGTGTTACAGGAAAATTGGTTCAGTCTATGGCTATACAAAAAAGTCCAGCTAAAGGGCACTCCATCATTTCTTCCCACCTAGAATTCTTTCTCATCTTCTTCTGACAACTCAGGTCCCAGGCTGTTTCTCTTCTCTCTCAGATGAAGGAGGATTAATGTTTCGCAAAATTTTCTTTGTGTAAGGGAGGGTTAAAATCTCGGGCTCTGCTGCCCTCAGGAAATCTCACAGCGGCCTGCCCAGGATTCCCACAGCTGAGCACCTTCCCACCCTTCTCTTTCTCCTCTGCTTGCCTGCTGCTAGCATATGATACCAAATTTCAAGGTGGCACAGGTTCTCTCTCTCTCTGGGGGCGCTGCCTGGGAGATCCCTGTGTTTCTCCACCCTTCTGTCCTGCAGGCGCCGGCCCAGTTCCATTCTCTTCACCATTCCCTTCAGTCCCCGTCTCTGCCTGGGGCTCCTGGCCTAGCTGAGCCTAGGCTGCATGGCTTCCCCTGCCCCACGCACCTGTGGCTGGCCACGGAGGCCTGAGCTCTTCCTGGCTGCAACAAAAGCGAGGGTTTCTCTGGCAGTTCTCTGCTTTTAACGCCGTCTTCTCAGAGGCGTATCCATGTCTTTAGTGTTTACGCCAGGTGTCAATATTCAAACCTGACCACTGATTGGTTTGGCTATAACTTCCTAAAAAACTCACTTCCTCGTTAACGTACGACACTCCTGTAGTTCATGGATATTATCTCTGCATTCAGCAGTTCAGAAAATATTTGTTGTTACCATCCTGGACTTTTCTGCTGTTTTTTTTTTTTCTTTTGTAGCATTTGCTACAAGCGTCCAGAGGTTAATACAGCTTAGAACAACTTTAACACAAATTCTTTAGGTGTATGATTGATATTGACCTGCACCTTCCTTCTAAAGCTAGCAAGTGTTAATCTTGGGGTTTACAGTTACCAGTGAATCTGATTTGCTGTACATTGAGCTGCTGAAAAGTAGTAAATCCAAAATAAAGATGCACATTCTAATCTTATTCTGATTCGGGGAGATCTGAAAACAAAGTCTCCTACTGTCAAGGAGTGTTACTTTAAATGTCTGGTAATACCTTAAAGCTTCTTAGGGAAGAATCTGGGCTGCCTGTCTCTTCCATTGGCTAACTTGACCCTAATACACATTGGGACCAGCTGGTAGAACATGCTGCAGAACTTTTTACTTATCCTGGTAGGTTTTTCCTGTGCTTTGACAAGAGTTGATGCTCCTTCTTTCTTGAATATGTTTTTATTAAACATTCTTACAAAAATGAAATTGTATTTGGTCACATTTTATATTAACAATGTTTTAATAAAGTCACTTTAAATAGAACTGTCAAGATTTTTGTGCTGCTTTGTATGTTGTCCTTGATACTCTGCTTTCCTCGGTGCCATTGGAGTTGTTTGAGGCATCTTGAATCTGCCTGAGAGACAGCCAAGGATGATTTGATCGAGAATTTAGAAACCAGATTTTTATATTTGGGAAAAAAACAACACACTTCAGCTGTTTTTTCAAGCCTTTAAGTGAATCTGTGTGGGGAGTTGGGGAGGTATTGCTTTATAATGTAATCTGACAGTTGGGGGCAGGATGAGATTTGGGAAGACCAAAATCTATTTGTACTTCACTGTAATAGATTAAACCTAACACACACGCTCTCCCACCAGTATCTGCAGGTAATCCGAAGCAGTATCTGGATCATTATTGCAGAAGCAATTTGAAAACTTCATGTTGTGGTTTAGCCCCAGCTGTCAATGAAACACCACACAGCTGTTCCTTCACTTCACCCAAGCAGGATGGGGGAGAGAATGGGTTATGTGTGGGCTTTAAAAGTATTTCACAAAAAGGAAGGTGCTAGCAGAGGCCACTGGGTAGTCTCACTGCCTGCCTTTTGTGATATGCAGCAAATTCCCAAAGTGTAAGAGAACCAAATGTGCAGCCACAAGGATAGTTTTTCTTCTGCAGGCTCACATCTACTTCTTCCAGAAATGTATTTGGAAAAACAATTTCATTTGTACTCGAGCTGGATTTCCAGCAGCTAAAAAGGCATTTGAAGAAGAATTTGGTTTGGAAAGACTCCACAGCCAACTAAGGGTGATATTCTAACTATATTTAGGATCTGGCCTACACATAATTTGCTTCAATCTTGTCTAAGCTCCCTCTCAACTTTTTGAAGTTCTCTGCTAAAGGCAAATCTACAGCATGTGGGCACTGTTTCAGCATAAGGAGCCAGCAGGTCTGATGTATGAGTGAAGACTTGTAAGGGCAGAGTAGAAAAGATGCTGTGGCTGAAGAATGGTGATTGACTGACTGATTGATTGATTGATTGATTGATTTAGTGGTTACTTTGGTGGTATTTGCTGAGGTTGGGATAGCGCTTGAGGTCATAGTTGTGGGTGCTGGTGCAGCACGCAGCAGGCAGAGTCCTGCTGATCACTCAGCAGCAACAACCCCCAAAGAGTGTGCAAGTCACATCCCTGGGAGACAAACCCAACTTTGTAGGCATTATTTACAGACAGACCCCATGGCTTTGCTGTCCAGATTTGCCCATCACCCATGTGAATCAGTATGTTACTGTATATTACTCTGAGATCAAAACCATAATGTGGTGACCAATGACAGGGCCTGAGGGAATGGTCTGAAGTTGTGTCAGGGGAGGTTTAGGTTGGATATTAGAAAAAAGTTCTTCACCCAAAGGATGGCTGGGCACATGACTGTGAAACTTGGACCTTATGGATCAAGATATAGGGCTAAATGCCCTTTGCAAGTCAGGATTTGACTGGGATGCCAACAAAACAACAAACATATAGCTGCCCTGAAAATAGCTTACTGTAGTTTTTCTATAATGCTTGTCTCCAAAATGAACAAGGGAATGAAAAAGAAAATAAAATGCAGAGGGAAGGAAAGAGTCCTCTGTGCTTTTTGGATGGTTTGACTTCAGTGACCAAACAGAGGTTTACACAAGGGCCTGACCTGAACCCTAGCTTCTCTTTTTACCAAAAGTGTCGAGTGCCAGTGACCCTGGAGTTCAATGGGTCATTTGTCTCCTGAGTTTATTCTCTGAAGTCCAGTAACCAGAGTTGAAGGCAGTGTTTGAAAATCTCCACTTGCAGTAGGTACAGATTATCTCAGGAGAAATGTTTTTGTTGCTGTGAAGTGCTGGCTTCTGTGAAAAGGTGCAGTGGCATCCTTATGGAGATAGGAGAAGAAGAAAAGGTGATGGAAGAAAAACCAGTATTCAGCAGGGAGGAGAAAATTCATCGCATGTGTCCTCTCCACCCTGACATTTCCAAGCTATGTGAGCTGGAGCACTGGCTCCAGCTGGCTCCACTTAGCTTGGTAGCAAAATTTATTTTGACTTTTAGGAAGCCCGGGCTTTATTACAGCTGTTTGTTATTAAAGTTCTAAATGAACATCCTGCTATCCTTGACATATTTTTCAGACCTTACATCTGCCAAGAAAGAAACTTCTGGTGTGTGCCTATAAGCTTATGTTTAAGAAACCCTGCACTGGCCTGAGTGTTGCACTGATCCCTTTGGGTTCCACCCGTTTGGCTGCAGCTCAGTTGCTCCAGGGCAAGAATACTGCAAATGTTTGTGGTCAGTAATTAAAGCTTTTTTTTCGTAACTTCTCTGTCCTGGAGCTGCTGCCAGTGATTCAGAGCACGTAGGAGGGCATCTTTGAGCTCCCACCAGGCTGGCAGCAGTGCAGGCAGAGACTGCTTCAGGGACTGAGGAGTTGGGAGCTGCTGCCCGGGGCTGTGCCACTGCCTTTAAGCCCTCAGCACACCCCATGGCCTGAGTCTGAGACGCACTGAGAAACTGAGTCTGGCCAAAGTCCCTGCAAAAGTACTGACCGAAGGTGAGAGCTTCTTGGCCCACCATTCTGCCAACACAGGAGTACTGCTTCGTGCTTGTCCTCTGTTTCATCCTCTCTGTCTCCCATCTCACCAGGAGAGTGGTTTAGCAGTTACTAAGAGCCATGCAGTGCCTTATTAGTGAAAAAAATTAAAGTTGCAAGACATTTTAATAACATAGCGAGGCAACAGGGACCTGATTTCATTGGGGCACACCTGGCATGTTACATTTCATGCAGATCTTAACTGCTTTTCCTCCAGAAACTACTAAAAGGAGTTGAGAAAGGGAAAAAAATCCCAGATAAAATAATTTTGAATCCCCAATCTTAGGGCAAGTTGTACCATGTCTCTACCACTAACCTTGACCCAAGCTTTGAGTCAACCAGCTAACTTAGGCATCAAATCATCTGAGTGTGGAAATCCCACAGAAGTCCCAGGGAAGCTTCTCATCACTGAGGTTTCACAAGTAATATTTCAGGAGCACTGGTGACTAGGAGCAAGCTTAGCAAAAAGCAAAGTACCCTCCTGGATGTTCTTTTCACAGCTGGTTCAAAACCAGCCCTATCTGGCAACAAGTAAATCTTGCTTATGATTTTGAACAAGCTTCTTCCCTCCAGTCACGTGCAGTTCCTTGTCACTGATGTATCCAGCACCTTTCCACCAGGAATGACACTTGCTCCCCTCCTTCCCAGCAAGGCATGAACATGCCAAAGCTTGGAGCCAGGTCCCTCAGGCCTACAGCCAGTGATGGAGACTTCTCCCTGCCCCGTCACTGGTCTAGGTCACTCCTGGCAGACAGATGTCCCTTCTGGGCTGTCAGGGCTCTCCAGGGCTCAAGGGGTGCTTCCTGTTGATGGATGGACCAAGAACCAGGAGTGGGCACTTGCTGATGAGCTTGTCAGCCTCCAGTCCAGCCTGCTCCAGCATTGGGAAGCTTCCCCTACGGGCTCGCCCCCAGCAGCAGGGATTGTTGTTGCAGCAAGAGCTTAGCAAAGGGCCCTGTGCCAGGATGGGAAACTTTCCCTTTGAGGCATTTGACCACCAGTAGCTCATAAGCCAGGCACCAGAGCTCACCTGCATCCCATCGGTGCTCATGACCCTCAGCACAGAAAAACCTTTCATCTTGAGTTGTTATTCACTCTCCAGTCTTCTGCCATCCTGCCAAAGTCCCCACCCCTGCAGCAAGCACCTCGGTGGAGAGGCCACAGGAAGGCTTCACCAGCTAGAGCAAAGTCACCTAAAACACTGTGTTTAAAAACCCCTGGGCAAGCATCTCACACATGCCTGGAAAATCAGGCACAGAAGTATTTGCAAAGCACAGCCATTAAGAGACCGCTGGATTTTTGTGGGCATTCTTTAATTTTTTTTTTTGTCTCTATCAACTTTCTTTTTTTTCTTTTGTACTAGAGGGTGCAGAGCCCTGAGATGTATAGAGCCAGCCTTGGTCCCTCTGCTGGCATCAGCCCGACCACCAGGTCACCAGCCTCACCCTTGCTCTTTCCTCACACTGGAGCCCAGTTCTTTTCTGTCTCCAACACCACTCTCTGAAGCTAAATGACTTTCACCAGTGTAGAGCCAGAAGAGCAGATGGAAAAACTGGGTTGTAATGGTAATGTCCTGGTAAGGGAAGTTACATGATAATAAAAAACAGAATGAGGGGTGGCTTCTGAATCTGGTTTCACAGGTTTTGTCCAGCAGTCAGTGACCCCAGTTACAGAGACATGAAAAAAATCCAACTTCTGACTCCTTTTAACAGTACAATTTCAGTTAAAATCCATAGAAGCAACATCACTGAGTTCTTATTAGTTAATTTGCAATGAGTCCCCTGGGGTATTACTTTTGATAGAAATGCCATTAGCATTTACAATTAAGTTCACTGTGAGGCACTTCTGGTTTTAATTATACAGCGTTTACAATGCTTCTTCTGGCACTCAGCATGGAAAAAATGAACCTAGGATGTAGAAAGATAAAAAAGCTATTAATTCCAGGGCTAGAAATGCCGGATCAATATAGTTACAGATTGCTCTCTGTAACCCAGCCCAAACAGCTGGCTTTCAGTGTTCAGATAGGAATGCACCAAATATGACAAAAATGTCTTTATCTGGGGAAGCTAATTTTAGACACTTTTATTTTGGCCAGGCAGTAGAAATACTTAGAGAAGAAATCATTAAACTTCCAATGAAAAAGCTGTTTTTGTAGGATACATTGCACACAGTGTTTCCGCAGCAGCTTCCCTGTGTGTCCATCACAGGGCAACTGGAGCAGCTGCTCAGCCCAACCTGACCAACACCCAGCTGAAACACATAGACTCTAGGGAAGTTGCATTTGCCCGTGGCGCCAGCAGGGCTGTGAGAGGAGATTGCCAGCACTTGTGGAGTTTCAGCCTCCAGACCAGCACACACCCCACATCCTCCCTCACCTTGGAAATATAAAGGTCAGGCACAGCAGCTGGTGGGGGACCAAAACAGCTTCCTGTTCA